CATGGCCCCCGGCCGCTGCAGAGATCATGGCCCCCGGCCGCTGCGCGGCCCGGTGCCAGGTACTCCACGGCCCGGCACTGGTCCGCGGACCGGGGGTTGGGGATCACTGGTCTAGAGCATCTCTGGCAGAAGAAACCTCAGTATCCCAACTTAATGGGTAGGATCTAATTAAAGTAGGTGTTCCTGAAACTACCAGGATACAAAACCAGGTTAAATTAGCATTCTGAATTGTACCCAGAAGTCTAACTGTAGGAATGCCAAGCCTCCAGTGCTGGATTTACATTAGAATTTCAAGTTCTTCCTGCAACAAATAACCTGCTGTATTTTGGACCAGCTGGAGTTTTGAATATGTTTCAAGGAAACTCCATTAGAGCACACTGCAGTGATCTTACCAGGAATTGACAAGGCCACTGTTGTTAAAATACATAAATTTTATGAGCCAGGATCATGTATGTGAGATGGGCAACTATATGAATTAAATAAAAACAAATAATACATAGTAAATTTTAAAAATTGGAAATTGCTGATCTATTAATACCTTTGACTGAATTTATAATTGCAAAAAGTCGCCTTTTGTCAAGAAACAATTTTCTTAGGTTATCAGTCCTTATAAATCCCCTTCTTTTATCCAGTAATTCAACCCACTGCTGCTGAGAATTCTTGGGGAAAATACATTGGCAGGCAATTGTAACAGGGCTCCCACATTTAAGGCACTGTCAGTGAAAAAAGGCAGAGAAAGCCACTGCATTTAGGTATTTTTCCTTATGTCATCATGTGGGTCTTCATTGCCCAAGTCATACAGTACTTCTCCTTTTGTCTCAGTTGGAAAAACAAAAGCACAAAGTACGTCAAGGAAAAAGGTGAGACACAATTGCCTTTCCTCTTCTGTCAAGTGACATAAACTTGTGTCATCTTCACGCAGCAGCAGAACAAGGGTGATCAGAAGGGAATTGCTGCCTCCCATTTCAAGCTTCAGTGTTTTCGTCAAACTGGGGTGAGGGGTGGGGGAGAGGGTCTCCCGGCCCGTCATGACTTTTTCCGCCCCGAGTTTCATCCGCCTTGACGGCGAGGCAAAGGGACCGGAGTCCATATGGAACAGGGGTCTCCAACCTTGTGCACTTTAATACTTGTGGACTTCAACTCCCAGAATTCCTCAAGCTGTCTGAGGAATTCTGGGAGTTGAAGTCCACAAGTCTTAAAGTGCACAAGGTTGGAGACCCCTGACGTGGAGAAAGCGAGAAGCGGCCGCAGCTTTTGCTCACCTTGATTCTCTCGTCGCCGATATCGACGGCTCGCTCGCGGAAGTCCACCCCGATAGTCGCTTCGGTGCGCTCGGGGAAGCGCCCCGCGCAGAAGCGGTAGGTGAGGCATGTCTTCCCTACGTTGGAGTCCCCGATCACGATAATCTTGAAAATGCGGGAGCGCGCGGACCGCAAAGACCCGGGCCCCGCGTAGCTGTTGGATAGGCTCAGCTCCAGAGACGAATCCACGTCGGCCGCCATCAGGCCCTGCCCTCCTCCTCCCTCTGCGAGGCCCTCAGGCCCAGCAGAGGTGCGGGGGGGGCGGAGAGGAAAGCGGGCGGCAAAAGAAACTCGGCCCGTGGCGCAAAGCTTTCCTCAGCGCGAACCCGCCTTACACGATTGCCGCCACCGGCATCCACAGAGCCATTCAGGGGCGGGGCGACAAGGGCCGGGCGGGGCGGGGCCGCGACGCTCCAGGCACGAGAGTCGCCCCTTCCCTCCTCCTGACAGGAAAAGCGGCCGCGACTTGGCTTAAGATATCGCGAGAGGGGAAGGACGGGGCGAAGTGTGTGGGGGGGGAGTCATTCGTCCGGAAGGTGGGGGCAGTTCGGGGCAAATCACTGGCGGTTAAACGCGGGTTGTAGAGAGATTTGGCTCCTTCCCCATCTAATGCTGGAGAGCAGGGGGTCCCCCACTTCTCCGGTCTTTGGGGGTGGGGGTGAAGAAATAGTTCTGTGAACTCCAGGCAAGCTGCAGTCCGCGCAAATGGAGCTGCTGTTTTCGCAGACCAGTTTGAAGCGGGCCATGACCCAGGATTGGGCTGGGGTGTTGGGTAAGGTGACCAGATTTTCGGATTGGTAGAGGGAGACCATTGACCGG